TTTGTTCTCAATGTATACACATGTTAAGGCAGTAGTTAAAACCCCACATGGTGTGACTGATCTGTTTAAAATTGAAACAGGCCTGCAACAAGGTTCAGTTATTTCCCCATTACTTTTTTGTTTTTATATAAATGATATAGAAAAAGCTCTTACACAAGGTGGTGAAACTGTAATCTATGTAAACACTTTAAAATTAATGTATTTATTATATGCTGATGACCTCGCATTATTTAGTAAATCTCCCATTGGTCTACAGCGTCTTCTAAATAGATTAGCAAATTACTGTAAAAGATGGAGGTTAACAGTAAATTTGAATAAATCAAAAATTGTTGTTTTTCGCAAATCGGGTAGACTAAAGAAATCTAAAAAGTGGTTTTGGAATGGGAATGAAATTGAAATAGTCTCAAAATATAACTATTTAGGGGTTCTTTTTTCTAGTTCAGGTATCTGGTATCAGGCCCAAAAACACATTGCTGAACAAGCAACGAAAGCCATGCACAGTATTAAAAGTATTCTTTACAAATATGATGGGTTCAAACCAGCTATTGCGTTTCGTGTTTTTGACTGCAAAATTCTCCCAATTCTGCTTTATGGCAGTGCAATATAAATCTTACTATATAGAAACAGTTCATCATAAATTTTGCAAATTTGTTTTAGGGGTACACCCAAAGGCCACAAACTCTGCTGTGAGTTGGGGGGATTAGAACACATGTGAACAAAGAAATAATTTGGTATTGGTTAAAATGTATAGGTGGTGATTCCTCTGTTTTAGTAAAAGAATGTTATGGCTGTCAATATGACAGGGTAGAAAGGGGATTTAATTGTTTGGCAACATATGTTAAGGATATGTTGTGTAATTTTGGTTTTGCACACGTATGGGAAAGCCAGTATGTGAATACCGGTAACCCAAATTGTTTTCTGCTACAGTTTAAGCAACGGTGTCTAGATATTTCCCAGCAACAGTGGCATGATCAGATTGGTAATAGTTCAAAATTATGCACTTATTCTAAATTTTAAAAATTATTAGCCGGGGAAAAATATCTGGATTCTATCATCATAAGTGTTTTTAGAAAATCTCTCACTTGTTTTAGGATATCTGCTCATGATCTCATGATTGAAAAGGGTAGGGCATTAGGAATACCACTTGACCAAAGATTGTGTCCTCTTGATTGTAATGACATTGAAAACAAGTTCCACTTTCTATTACAATGTCCCAAATTTGAGGAAATTAGAACTTGTTTTATACACACGTTTTACTATTGCCCATCGCTTGAATGGAAATTTATTTTGCTACTGCAATCTGAAAATACACATACAATACAAAATCTTGCAAAATACATATTTTTATTCTTTACAAAAACTTCATAGTTTGTTGGAAGGAAATTTAACTGAAATATAAATATAATTTAGTATTCATAGGTGAAGTATGAGTTTGTAATATTCAGACAAGTAGTAGCAGTGGTTATCCTTGTTAAACGATTTATTTATTTATTTGTGTTACATTTAAGTGTGTATATTATGGCCTATGGCCAATGGTACTGAATAAATATATTATATATATATTATTGCTTAGTAGCAAATGATCACGGTAGTGCAATTCGGTCATGTTGTGTTTCACAATTGTTAATTATTACTTAGTAGTGATTATAATATCGTACAAAAAATAAATTGCTAAGAAATGCAAATAAATTTCATCGTGAGCGAATGATTCTGGTCGCATATCAAACGCTCCTTGCTGGAGAATATCCCTCTTGTTTTGACCTGGGACGATCAAATCACTAATTAACCAATCAAAATGATGGATGACTTGTTCAAATTACCATAGCTCATTCAAATATGTGAATGTTATTGAATGCAACACAGAAGAGATTTGCTGATGTTGTAGTACGATCTTTTGGCTTGGATTTTGATGGGAATATATAACATTGTTCACAGTGATAACAGCTCATTGTTGAAACAAAGCTTACCCATTCACGCTAATCACAATAAATGTTATACTCTTGAATAGACATTAATAACTACGGTAAAACTTGAATTAGACTCTATTTTTATATTTTTATGATTGAAATGTCTGAAAAATGACGCCAAAATATTAGAAAAAAAACACATTACAAAATGGGATTTCTTGCTCCCATTTATACTGCTATAAGTAACAAGGTGGATTGCTTCCTGCAAAACATAAGTCCCAAATTCAATTGTGTATTTCCTATACTCATTACTGCCTTGCTTTATTTGTAGTACAAATACATGTATGTGTGGTAAGACAAATTATTAGCCATAAATAACTAAGAATGTTTGTCTGTATAACTCCTCTGAATTTATATTACATTTTTTACAGAGACCGTCCATCAATTACTACAATTTTAAAGAAACCTTTCTTACAGAAGAGAATAGAACAATTTCTATCGGATGCAGTAAGCGCTCTACTACTTTTATCATATGTACTAAATAATATGCATATCAAAAATCCATATCACTACAGTGTGATATAACGCAGTTCAGTCTCTCAACTGACTGATCACTCAGCAATATACATTCTGAGTAAATTCTGCCCAAACTTTTGAATGTATTGTATACATCTAGGTCCTTCTGAAATCATGTCTCATCAAATGAGGGAAAAGGTATATGTACAAATTTGGCTCTGTGTAATGTTTCTGTTTTCTGTGTTAATTGATGACTTCATGCTGCCTCATCAGAAAAAGTAACAGATTTCCATTGGATGATTGACAACTTTGTCTCGTGTCAGTTTTCATAAGAGCTGGGGATTCAATATTTGTAATTGGACTCTTTGCTATTTCTATCTGAGTAATGTATAAACACAAAAAACAGAAATCATGGTTTTGACGTGCACAATTTTTTATTTATTTCTTTTCAGCAAATCTCTGATGAATTCAGTCACACAGTTTTACATCGAAATCGTCCTGCCTTAGCTGCTAGACCACCAGTACAAGGTATGAAAAAAACTGAAAAAATATTTACATTTATTTTACTAGTTCAAGTTTTTGAATTTAACATCCTTGGCCTTTCAACATGACAGTTACATGTAGCTAACCCAGAGAAAACATTTGTAATGTTGTATACTTGTTAGATGATGAGATAACTGCAAATGTACATACAATCCATTTTGAATGCCTTGCTACATCTAATATGGTTGTTATTTTCAGTGCCAAAATCAAATTTCATCACCATCCACAAAATAAAATATGTACCATTTTCATAGATTTGTTTTCCAATTTTTTTAAAAAAGTCATGTATCCAATAGGAAATTATGTCTATTTGGTCAAAAATGATAAAAACAAATATTTAAAATAGGCAGAATGACAAAAATTTGACGGGAAAAATTATGACACTAATTAATTGTATACATCATTTCAATTGAATAGCAGTTGCCAGGAAACCACCATCCAATCAACTTCGCATCAGTGACCCAGCTGCCAAATATGGAGTTCCTCTTGCTAGAAGACCAGTACCTGCTGCTGCCAAAAGACAACCAATCAGACGCTCGGGTGATAATAGACCTAAGAAACCACCCTCTGTACCAAATGACAGCAAAGAGCTGGAACGAAAGAAAAAAGAACTAATCGAAAAGGAAAATGCAAGACAAGAAAAAGACAGACAAATAAGACAGCATCATATTCAATTATTAGAAAAACAAAGAAAAGCACGGATAGACAAAGCTAAAGAAGAAGGAGGTTGGCGCAATCTGTTGGATTCTGGAAGTTCAGGAGGATCTGGTGGTGGTGGTGGTGGTGGTGGGTCTGGATCATCAGCTGGCAATAATAACAGGAATGGAGCAGCTCCAAGACTAGATGCAAGACCAGATCAGGTAAGTTATTGTTTGGAACAGGTGTATTATGCACTGTACTTTAAAGTATCGCTAATATCGTATTTGCCGATACATCACCCATCATAAAATCTTGTGGCTACAAAAATGTATTTACAAGAATGCATTATTGATTTGTTTGTTTTAAAAATAGATCAAAATATTTTAATCTTGTTGCAGTTCCGCCAAAGAGCGAGGCAATTATGATCACTATCATCAGTTCTTGGATGACTTACGGAAAGGAAAACATCCTCAACAAGCTATTGGCAGGGA